CTCCTCTTTTAATCTGAGCTAACTGCCCTCATTAAAAAGGAAAAAATCAAAACCATCTTTTAGGGCAAGGATTCCCAAACTTGTAGGCATTGTACCTCCTTTTAATTTGATCAAAACCCCCGCGTTTTGAAGTCCAGGGAATCCTGTCTATGCACATTACGTGCATACACATGTGCCTTAGACTTTAATTTAAAAATCACTATATATTCATTTATTTATATTTCACATTTGTCACCGCCCATCTCACTGCAGAGCGACTTTACATGGGTCATTTTTCTAAAAAAGTCACATCTTTGTGCCTCCCCTTGGAGTGTTTTCACGTCCCCCCTGTTTGGAAACCCCCCACTTCTCAAGCAAAGATCGGGACACCAGCTAAAGATGGAAAAATGTGGAAATACTCGCAACGGAGGAGTGGATTGCGAAGATGGCAGAATTTGCTGAAAGGGCCGGATTGACTTGTCTGATGAGGGAAGAAACAATAACTACTTTGATAAAAGACTGGAAACCCTTCTGGTGAAAATAGACAAAAATATATGGGTGATTTTGGGATTTACTGATTAAAAAGGGTTGTTGATGGGAAGAAGGGAACCGTGATATGTAATTTGGGAGGATATAAACAGTAATAATTGTTCCAATTGAAGAGAATATATAATAATAATAGGTAATAATTACGTTTGTAACTGCTGCAAAGAAGGTCAGAAGTTGCTTCTCTAGATATTTTTCCTTTTCTTTTTTCGTCATTTTTTCTTCTCTTTTCATGACTTTTACTGTCTCTCGCTTTTTCTTCTATCTTTTCATATCCTCTTTTTTCTAATTCTTTCTTTATGCTTCTGTAGTTTTCCATCTTGTAAACAAAAATTTCTTAATGAAAATGACATATAAACATAAAAAAGATTAGGACACCAGCTGTCACTGTCAAGGAGAAGAAACCTTCCCCCCGCTTTGATTTATTGTTGGTTTTTACGTGGCACGCTGCCCAGAGTCACAGGGGTTGAGTTGGGCAGCCTTATAAATCTTACAAATAAATAAGTAAATCCAGGCTATGCAAAGAACCCAGCAACTCTTTCTGAAAGAGGGGTGAGACCTCTTCCGTAAAATCAGTGCTGTGCAAATAAAAATAAAAATACTGCCCCGTGTTTTTGCAGAAGAACAGCCCTCCTGGGGTAGTTCAGCTGCTTTTGAAGGTATCTGTTAAGCCTCTTCAGATTGACCGACTGGTTCATGTCTTGCTTTAAGCCATGGTGGTTAACTCAGGCTTCTTGGCTAAGCAACCTTTGAGTGAGTCCATAGGTGTGGCTACAAGGCGCAATGGCTAGGTTCACACAGCAGACTAAGCCGTGCCTACAGAATCATAAGGTTGGAAGGGAATTTAGAGGTCATATAGTCCAGCTCTCAGCTCAGTGCAGGATCCACTGGAGCAGTGCTTCCCAAACTTGGGAATATTACCCCACATTGGGTAAAAGTGCTTTTTCTTTGGGTAATGATACACGAACCCATTACCCACTCACAACAAGGACATTTCAGTTGACTTAAAAGATTGCCACGTGGACTAAAATGTATTTGAAAATCTCCCAAAGTATTCCTATTAAGACGAAAATTGATGAAATCACCAATGGTAATTGGTTGAAATGATATAAAGTTCATTCAACGATATCGTTTTTATAATACAGGTAGTCCTCGAGTTACAACCATTCATTCAGCAACCGTTCGAAGTTACGACGGTGCTGAAGGAAGTGACTTATGATGGTTTTAGGTAATGAAGGAAAAAGTTTGGGAAGCACTGCACTAGAGCATCTTGGACAGATGAGCCTCCAGCCTCTGTTTGAAGATCTGCAGTGAAGGAGAACTGACCACTTCATGTGGCAGCCACTGGCTGGCAGCTTATACAGCCAGGAAGTTTCTCCTGATGTCTAACCTGAACCTCCTACTCTGTAGTTTTGACCTCATTGGTTCTGCTCCTGCACTTTGAAGCTACAGAGCAGTGTTTCTTAAAGTGCAGTCCTAGGACTCTGGGGGTCCCCCAAGACCTTCTCAGGGGTCCTCGAAATCAAAATTATTTGCCAACCTGTTGAAAAATAATACAATATTGAAATCCCACCCAACAATCGTGAGGAGCAGAAGTGGCAGCAAATGTATAATTTTAATTTTTAATACAGTACATATTGATAAATATAACCCATACAAACAGAAACTCTTTTGGGGTCCTCTATAATTTTTAAAAGTGGGAAGGTTCCTTGGAGAAAAATGTTTTAAGAAACACTGCAATAGAGAATAAGCCCAGTTCCTCTGTTACGTGGACATGTTTTAACTGTGGCTTATTGAATGAAGCACATTTGGGCAAATTCACTTATCGCGCTAAGGCAGTGCTTCTCAACCTTAGCAACTTTAAGATGGGTGGACTTCAGCTCCCAGAATTCCCCAGTCAGCATGCTTTAAGATAGCCAGCATGCTG